AAACCACAATTTATGAGTCATTTTCTAATCAAATTTTAGTGCCTCTAGGCTTCTTAGAATGCTGGCTAGATTTTATTTATTTATTTATTTATTTATTTATTTATTTTAGAGACAGGGTCTTGCTCTGCCACCCAAACTGGAGTGTAGTGGTGCAATCACAGCTCACTGCAGCCTCAACGTCTCAGGCTCAAGCAATCTTCCCACCTCAGCCTCCCAAGCAGCAGCTGGGACTAAAGGCGTGTGCCTGGCTGAGTTTTAGTTTTTTTTTTTTTTTCTTTTTAAAGAGACAGGGTCTCACTATGTTGCCAGGGCTGGTCTCCAACTCCTGCGCTCAAGCGATCCTACTGTCTCAGCCTCCTAAAGTGCTAGGAATACAGGTGTGAGCCACCACGTGGGGCCGCTAAATTCTTTCTTCCTTTTTACTTCCCAAATCTTGGCAACGGATTGTCAATTTCATTTCCCAATATTCCTTTCAACAAAAATATTATTTAAGGAAATAAAAGAGAAACACTCGGCTGGGCACGGTGGCTCAAGCCTGTAATCCCAGCACTTTGGGAGGCCGAGACGGGCGGATCACGAGGTCAAGAGATCGAGACCATCCTGGCTAACACAGTGAAACCCCGTCTCTACTAAAAAAAATACAAAAAACTAGCCAGGCGAGGTGGTGGGTGCCTGTAGTCCCAGTTACTCGGGATGCTGAGGCAGGAGAATGGTGTAAACCCGGGAGGCGGAGCTTGTAGTGAGCCGAGATCGCGCCACTGCACTCCAAGACTCCGTCAAAAAAAAAAAAAAAAAAGAGAAACACTCTAACCATACAAGCAGAAAGCAAACAAGTCAAATCTCTAGCCTCATTAGCATATTTTCTTGGCTTAATAAAAACTCTAGCCAAAAACATAATAAAAACAAAAAACCAACCAAACCACAAACCCACCAACACCACCCCAACAAATAAACAGATTCATCAACTCTCAAAACGGAATTCTTCTTTCTTCCAAAAAAATGCATTTTCTGTACAACCCTGAAGAAATACCAGTATCAGCATTAACAGGCAACTGTTGACTATCTATTTATCTTGGAAGATAAACTTTTCTAACTTTAAAAAAAGAGGGATCATTAGAAGGGAAAATAAAAGCCCATTTCCATTTTTTCCGCAAAAAATGTTTTTTAAATTTTAAAATGCCTGTTCAATATGTTATGAGGACGAATCAAGGTATAAAAATAAGCACAGGCTACAGGTATAAGCACAACTATTTTTAAAAATTGTATATGCATGTGTACGTCACGTCACCCAAACTGTAAACACCTTTCAACACTCTCTAGCCATACCTACCTGTCCCCATTTCCTGCTAATCCTTCCTCCAAAATCTATCTCAAATTCACGTCATCACTGCTTACCAAGATAAGACTACTTTAACAGCTGCCTAAATGGTTTTCCCACTTCCACAGCAGTAGGTTCTCAATTTTTACAGTGTATATGAACCATCACAGTTCCTGTTTGCAATGCAGATTCTACTGTGTGACCCCCAAAAGATTCTGATATAATGAGTCTGTACCAAGGAAGGAGAATCTGCATTTGTAACATGCATCCCAGGTTGTTCCACTGGTCTGAGACCACTCACCAGCATTTACCCCCTCTGTCGTCCTCCACAATGCATTAAGGTGACCTTTCTAAGTATAAATCTGATCATGTCCCTCCAGGGTGAAAATTACCAGTAGACCTCCATTGACTACAGAATACAGACCACAATTCCTTGTATTTCACAAAGGTTACTTAACTAGTTGGCTCCAATCCACTACATATCGTTAGGAATGATTCTCAGTTTCCCTGGACTCCTTTCTCTCTTATACCTGGTATTGCTCCATTTGTCCCTGTCTCCCCTTCTAGGTTGTGGGCTCTTTCACGTCAGAGACTCAGTTGCTTCCTCACACTGCACAGTGCCTGGTGTAAACAGTTTGAATACAAAGATGATCTGTCAACAAGGCTTTCTTAGTGTGATGGCTAATTTTGCATCAACTTGACTGAGATACTGAGTGCCCAGCAATCTGGTTAAACATTACTCTGGGTTTATCAGTGAGGCTGTTTCTGGATGAAATTAGCATTTGAATCTATAAACTGAGTAAAGCAGTTTGCCCTCCCCATGTGGGCGGACCTCAGCCAATCCACTGAAAGCCTGAATAAAACTCTGACTAGATGAGGAAGATTTCATCCTCTGGCTGCTTCAAGCTGGGACACTACTTCTTCCACCTTCAGAGCCCAACTAGTTAAGTAATCTTTATGAAATACAAACAATTGTGGACTGTATTCTGTACACAATGGAGGTCCACTGGTGATTTCCACACTGGAGGGACATGATCAGATTTATACTTCAGACTTATACCATGGGCTCTTGTGGGTCTCAAGCTTGCCGACTGTAGATTTTGGACTCCTCAGCCTCCATAATCATGAGAGCCAATTCCTTACAATCAATTTCTTTATATATATACATATTTTGTCTCCTCTTGGTTCTGTTTCTCTGGAGAACCCTAATACACTACTGATGGAGGTGAAGGAAAGAGAGTTTTCTTCCTTTTTTTTTCCAATTCACTCAGTTGAGAGACTATAATAAGAATTCAACAGAACCAGAAAGATTAACTTTTTTGAATAAACTGTTTAAATAAATAGGAAGGGGAAGCTGAAATCTAAGTTAGCTACATAAGTATGTACCTTATGTTTCTCACGCAGGCATTTCTGAAAGTTTATTTATGCCTTAGAGTCTCATGGACTGTAATTTATAGAACTCTATGTAATTCACAGAATTACAAAGTAGGAAGATTATTTTAACAGAGATCTAGTCTAACCACTCGTAGAAACAGAGACAGAAAAGTGTATCTCTTGGTAATTTATTTCTCAACTGTGTTTCTATATGCAAAGTACCACCCAGAGTAAAAAGAAATCACCAAACAATTCTGCGGATAAAAGAAACCAGTGGTCAGATATGTTCCAGCTACTCATCAATACTAACGTTTGATCAAGTCTAGGCCTTTTAGCTGGGATCCTAAAACTGGTTTGTTTTCCTTACTTTCAACATATTCCCTCTTCCAAACCGAAACTTTCTCTTCATGGCTGAGCTTGGCACATGGACACCTTGACTCATCTTGACTCTTCCACAAATCTGCTGTGTCACTCCACTTCTTTCGTTGTTGTTATTTTTAGTAGAGATAACGGTTTCCCCATGTTGGCCAGGCTGATCTCGAACTCCAGACCTCAAACAATCTGCCTGCCTCAGCTCCCAAAGTGCTGGGATTACAGGCAGGAGCCACTGTGACCGGCCAACTTTTCAGAGCCTTGATATCCTGATTTTTAATGCCATGAGACTGCACAAAATAATTTCTAAATTTTCTAGTAACTTTCAGACTCTCACCTCTTCCAGTTAAAACATGTTATAATTTTGTTCTACTTCCTTCCCTGAAGACTATAACACATAGTGCCTTTTTTCTTTCCCTGACTTACTATTAAAGCAAAATCCAGAATTGTACTGTTTGGTGTTCCCTGCACAAAACAAGATATAACCGTCTGTATTCATTACTAGTGTTTTAACTGTGCTATCAGCCATGTCCTCCCTTCAACTAAACCATATACTCCAAAGAGGACAAGGAACATCTGATCATATCCTAAACGTTTCACATATAGTTGTAAACTTTGTTACATATTATGTATACAATCTACAGTCATGTGCAGTCATATCAATGGATATCGTTTGGCTGTGTCCTACCCAAATCTCATCTTGAACTGTAGTTCCCGTCATCCCCACATGTCATGGGAGGGACCCAGTTGGAGGTAATTGAATCATGGGGGCGGTTACCCTCATGCTGTTCTCGTGCTTGTGAGTAAGCTCTCATGAGATCAGATGGTTTTATAAGGTGCCTTTCCCCTTTTGCTCAGCACTTGTCCTTCCGGCCACCATGTGAAAAAGGACATGTTTGATTCCCCTTCTGCCATGACTGTAGGTTTCCTGAGGCCTCCCTAGTCCTGCAAAACTTGAGTTAAATTAAAACTCTTTCCTCTATAAATTACCCAGTCTCAGGCAGTTCTTTATAGCAGCGTGAGAATGGACTAATACAACCACAAACCCTTACGTTAACTTAAAAAGAAAAAAACCTGCCTACATTGAATGCTTTCTTGTTTTTGGTTTGTAGTCTCAAAAAATTTGATATTTCCACTTCATATAAACACCAGTGTTCTCAAAAGGTAAGTGACGTATCAGAAACATATTGTTAATATGTTTAATAAGATTCAACAACATATATCTGCTATCCATATTTTTCAACAAAATTATGATTCAAGTGACAATCTTTCCCATTTGCTAGAGATGGCTTTATAAACAGCAAAGTTGAAAAAAAGAGCATGCTCAGAACATACCAGGAAAAAAAACTTATTTGCTAAAATATATTTGAAATTTTAAAAACTTAATCATCAAACGACGATTAAATCAAAGCAGCTCAATTCAGGTTGTCGCTGTAACATAATAAAGCTGATACCAGCTGGGCATGGTGGCTCATGTCTATAATCCCAGCACTTTGGGAGGCCGAGGCAGGCAGATCACCTGAGGTTGGGAGTTCAAGACCACCCTGACCAACAAGGAGAAACCCAGTCTCTACCAAAAATAGAAAAATTAGCCAGGTGTGGTGATGCATGCCTGTAATCCCAGCTACTCAGGAAGCTAAGGCAGGAGAATCACTTGAACCTGGGAGGCAGAGGTTGCAGTGAGCTGAGATCATGCCATTGCACTCCAGGCTGGGCCACAAGAGCGAAACTCCATCTCAATAAATAAATAAATAAGCTGATACTAAGATCAAACAATAAATACTATAAGCAAAATAACAAATAAAAACGTTTCTGTATAAAAGAGAAATTATAAAACTTTCATACTGTGCTTAAAGAGTGATGGTGAAAAAAATCATGCAGCATGTATTTAATTATCCTCCAAATCCAATTATGATTAATTAAATAATGCACCTACTCTTTATAAGTTCCTGTTTCAGGATCTTCTGTCATGACATCATGCAGGCCTTCCACTGAAATGTTTATAATCCCACAGAATTTATCTTGGATAACACTAGAATAAAAGAAAAGCAAAACAGGTTAACTGGAGTACTAGAACAGGTTTTTTTTCCCCTGAAATATCCTCTTGAACATGAAGAGAAATTCCAGTTCTGAAATACAAAAGAAACTTTCAAAATCTATTTTCTTATAACAAAAAGTTTATCTTTGCCTATAACATTACAAAATTCTTTTTCACTAATTAGTATGTTTAAATACTAGATGGAGAGATTTGATAGTAAAGGAATATTTTAATATTCTTGGATTTATAAGTCTTATTTTACTTTTATAACTACAAAGATAAAGACATTGAGTATTGACAAGTAAAAATTTCTGCTCTTCTAATGACACTGTGAAGAAGAAAGACATGCCATATCTGGAAGAAATATTTGTAAAACAAATATCTGGTAATGGACTTGAACCTCGGATGTAAAAAGAACTCTGAAAACACATTAAGATGAAAAACAATTTCAATTTAAAATAGGCATCAGGTGCTGTGGTGCAAGCCTGTAGTCCTAGCTACTTGGGAGGCTGAGGCAGGAGAATCTCTTGAGGCCAGGAGTTCAAGACTGCAGTGCACTATGATCACACTTGGGAACAGCCACTGCTTTCCAGCCTGGACAACAACAGAGAGACCTGTCTCTTAAAAGAAACAGAACAAAAACATTTTTTTAAAAAAGGCAAAAACGTGAACAGACATTTCACCAAAGAAGATATACAGATGGCATGTGAGCATCCTAAAAGGATGTTCAAAATCATTAGGCATTAGGCAAATTCAAATTAAATCGCAATGAAATCTTTAAAAAAATTGTAGTATGTGTTTTTTAATTTTTATAGATTTAGGGGGTAAATCTATAAACGTGCAGATTTTATAGACTTTTATAAAGTCTAAGCAGGCAGTAACACAGACGAAATTTTCAATTAACTTTTCAAAATAGTTATATAAGCTAAAATTGATGATGTAACACTTTTTCATAATAGCAATCACAAGACAGAAATGAATCACAACCTTAATCACCTTAGAATTTTCTCAGATCCAACCAGACCATAATTATGCTATTTATACATGGTACCTAATTAATAATTAAAGTCACTCTTGCATTACTATATTTTAAATACAGGAAGTTTAAGTCAAGTTAGGGTAATTTAAGAGACTAAACAAGTTTTTAGGCACTAAAACCCAGAACCAGATAAAATATCCCCTTAACTGTACTTATCTGCTTAGGTCATTCAACAGGGTTAAGCAAAGAACAACAATTTATCGAAATAGTCGAAGGAAGAAACAAGCCCTGATTTATTAGTCTTACTCCAGAATTTCTACAACAGTAGAGACTACAACAGTGGTAACATTAAAAGAATAGTTTTCCACTTTCCCTACCAGAGGAGGAAGAGGTGACAACTGGAACAGCCCCTGAGCAAGGAATAAACTTAGCTGAAAGCAGCTACAATTGGCAAGCAATAAAGACTGAGATGGTGGAGTGTCTCCACAGCTGCTAATAGCTAGAGCCAAGACTGAAATCCAGAACCTTATACTGACCAAACCCAGAGGGCAGTGCTCCAGGCTTGACTGGAGACGACTTCAACCTTACTGTGCTGAGAAACTGCTTCTATAGAGCCCAAAGCTCATCTTTTGGAAGAAGTCATCCCTAGCTACTCTCAGTTTCTAGGCTACCCAGGACTCCCGTCAGCCTACCGCAATGCAGCTTTCGACCCTACTACTCCACGGGCAGATGACATTCATTTTTGCAATCTAGGGGCCACACTTCAGTATATCTCATGAGATATCTCTGCTGGGTGGACACCACTGGTCTCCCTTCCTGAAGACTCTGCTTCTTTAGCTTCTGTGAGCTTAGCCTCTTCTGGTCACTCTTGTTTTCTGGTATAGACTTCTTCTCTGGGGGCCCTTCAGCATCATTATTGCCCAAGGCAGTAAAAAGAACCACATAAAGGAGTATGATGGTTGGTGAGGAGCCAAGATCACTCCACATCAGAAGAGATGGTAGCAGCCTGAAATGGTTTGGTGGCCACGGGAATAAAGAGAAAGGGGTAGGTTTGACAGATGTTTAATGGGTAAACATCACAGGATTTGGCAACTAATTGGCTATGGAAGATAAACGGGAGGAAGGAGTCTAGGATGACTGTTGGGTTTCATCTTGGGTGAGTGACTTGACTAGGTTGGTGACTTTGCTCAATCCAACAGGGATACAAAAAGAGCAAAGACATGAGAAGGAAGATGATGAAAGTGGTATCCCTGAAGAAGAGAGGGTGACCAACAGCACCAAAAGTCAAGTAATCAGATAAATCAGGTTCTAGCTGAGGAAGGGGAGTGACCATTCTTTCAAGAACCTTGTCCAGGGACGGAAACAATAGGGTAATAACCAGAGGGAGTGCAGGGTTGAAGGAGTGTTTTTGGCTGAGGGAAATGGACCAGTAGAGGCTGAGCAGCTGAAAGTGCAGGTGCCAAAGGGGTGGGTGAAGGAGCAGGATCCCAGTGATGGGATGAAGTGAGATCCTAACAGAGGCAGGGATGAACACAAAGGATATCTTCGTACATGAGGCAGCAGGACACAGATGTACAGACTCCCTTGGAGGCTCACAGTGGGAAGCGGAAGTTCCTGCATTTTGAATTATCCTCCTTCTGTGAATTAGAAGGTGAGGTTATGTATTAGGCATGTGGATAAGCAGTTGGAGCCAAGTGGTCAATGTTTATAATAGAGGGTCTTGACCAAAGACAAAAACATTGCTCAATGGCACTGAGGTCCAACTGCAGTTAAATGCCCTAGATTTGTAACAGCCTCAATCTGTACACTTCTATCATTTTTAGTTGCTATATTTTACACCCCAAGCAGATACACATAGGGAGAAACTGAGTCAGGCAATTCAGGCTTGGAAGCTTGAAAAACTAGTAGAGTTTGAGGATGAGGGGTTTAAAGAGCTGAGGGTATTAATGAGAAGTCTGAGTTGACCACAGGGCACCTGTTGGGTCAGGTAGAAAATAGGGTTAAAAGTGGAAAAAACAAACAAAAGAAAAACCTGTAACATCAAGTGCAAACATCAAGGTTTACGCCAGGCATGGCGGCTCACGACTGTAATTCCAGCACTTTGGGAGGCTGAGGTGGAAGAGTCAGTTAAAGCCAGGAGTTCAAGACTAGTCTAGGCAACAAAGTGAGACCCTTCTCTTCAAAAAAAGAAGAAAATTAGCTGGGGACAGTAGTGCACGCCTGTAGTCCCAGCTACTCAGTACCAGCTGAGATATGAAGATGATCGCTTGAGGCCAAGAGTTCAAGATTGCAGTGAACCATGATGGCACCACTACACTCCAGCATGGGTAACAAAGCAAGACACTGTACCTTAAAAAAAAAAAAAAGTTTAGTGGTAGAGAGTAAGAAAACTGGAAAATGTGAAGTTACAATAAGACAGGATATTAGAGTTTTGAGCATGATCACAAGGGAGGAATGTGTGGTTGAAGTGGAAGTGCACACAGATTTGAAAAACATCAAGGCCTTGTAAGGCCAACTGTAAGGCCATGCTTGAAAACATTCAGGGTGGCAGAATCTGGGATGAAGACTGCAAAGCAGATTCGAGGCCTCAGTGACTCCTGCATAGTGACTGTGAAATTGCTAGAGAACACAGAGAGCTGGTGAAGTAACCAGATGGCAGGGGCCTTCTGACCCCTTCCAGACCTCATGAAAGTGGCAGAAAACTGTGGTCGCCATCAAAGCTTCGAATTGTGGCTCCACCAGTGACTAGCTACATGGTCTTGGGCAAGTCAATTTAACCTCTCTGTGCTTCACTTGCCTTATCAGTAACATGAAGGCATAATAGTACCCACAAGTAAAGTGCTTATAACAAGGCCTGCCACATGTGCCAGAGCACTACTTAAATGTCAGCATCATCACCGTTTCTCATTTGAACAATGAGGGGGTTAACAGTCTCTAAATCTCTTACACTTTTTCATCTCAGTATCCTTTTACACTCTTAAAAATTGTTGAAGATGCCAAAGAACCTTTTAAAAAATGTATTATATCTCTATTTTTATATTAGAAAACTGACAAAATACTTTAAAAATATTTATTCACTTAAAAAATAAAAAAATAAAATAAACCCATTACCTAGTTTAAAAAAAAAAAAAAGTTTTCCCCTGTAGATATTTCCCAGGATGTAGCCTGCAAATACTTCTGTCATTTAAATGGAAATATACATCCTTTCTACACAGTAATTCTCTGCATGGTCACGGAAAAGTATATTAATAAATCTAGCTCCCCTGAAAAATACTGGCAAGAAAATAAGCTAAAAAACCACAGTTGAAATTCACTATCTTAAAGTGAAAGTTGACTTTTTTTTGCATTCCAAATGATCCTTACAAAGGCTTTTATATACTAAACCACTCCCCTGATTACCTGCTTTTTCATTTTTTGAGTGCACACACATACACAGCAGCACCACCCTCCTCCAACAAAACCATTATCTTTAAGACTACAAGAAATAACTAAAATGATCTATATTTAATGGCATGAGAAGAAAGTGCCATCCTGTGTGATTTTGCTATAAAAAGCAATGCCCAATGAAGACATACTAAGCTTCCACGGAAAGGAGATGATCAAGGACTGGTACGGAACTGTCTGGAAAAAAATTTAAAAAAAATCAGCTGAATAAAAGATTGAGTAGTTACTTAAAAAGTCACTTGACAGAATTGTTTTTTTTTTTTAAGTGATATAAAGAAATTTATCAGAGAATTGGTAATTATTGAGCTAGCACCATTGTAGATATTGGAAACTGATGAAAACAAAGCTATACAACACATAATTACAAGGTAATCATGAAGATACTTTTTTTTTTTTTTTTTTTTTGAGACTGATTCCTTCTTGTTGCCCAGGCTGGAGTGCAATGGTGTGATCTCAGCTCACCACAATCTCCACCTCCCGGGTTCAAATGATTCTCCTGCCTCAGCCTCCTGAGTAGCTGGGATTACAGGCATGTGCTACTACGCTCAGCTAATTTTGTATTTTTAGCAGA